GGAGAGCCGTCCGTGTCGCGCTGCAGGATCGCAGTTCCGCGTTCCTCGCGGCTCCCGCCGCCGCCGAACCCCCCGTGCTGCGGGCCAGCGGTGCTCTCGGGGCCCCCGCGCACTAAATCGTCTTTCSATTTTCCGTCTTTATTAACTCCTTAAGGGTGGGTTTGATTCCTGTAACCTGTTTTACCCTAACATCTCTCCACCCTATTGTCAGTAATAACCCGATTTTAAGGTGTTTTTTTCCCGGACCTTCCGTTCTTTTTTTGCTTAAATTAATGTAAAGTGTTTCCCGTGGAACGCTAGATGAGAAATTAGATGGAGACTTAATGGCTGAACAAYACAAATTATCAGCATTAAATCACTTTTCTCTGGCACGGGCAGACTCTTCGGCACACCCCATCTGTTTGGTCTCTCTCAAAGCTGGGCCTGGTTAATAACTCACTATGGGAATCTTTTTAAGAAAAGACAGATTCACTCACCTCTARACTATCCATGAACTAAATTTTTAAAAATAGATTTTGCAATTTAAGAAAAAAAAAAATCCCAAATGCCAATCTTATCTGCACCTGAATTCACCTAAGAGGAGCTTGGCACCATTTACAGAATCAGTGTGCAGTAGAGTACTTCCTTGGATACTCCATGGGAATAGGCAGATGTGGCTTTAAAATACACTCTGCTTAATTCAGAGTAAGGACTTGAACCAACATAACCATTATCAATTCTCCAACTCATAAAGTATAGAGTAGTCTTAGGTATTCTCTACTATTGAAACTGTTCCCTTTTGTATAAACTATTTAAATATTAATTAGATTGATATTTAAACTCATGTTTCCATATCCCATATGCATGCCCACTGGGCTTTTAGGATCACAATTCTGCCTCCGGCTCTGCTTTCTGAAAAGACTCCTAAACCCATTTGCCAGGAAATTATAATTTAGCCAACAGTGTCTTACGTAGACCCTTTTAAGTCACCCTTCACTAAAAGGAGCACTTAACTGTTCATTCTGGTCATCTTAAAAAAGGTTCCTCCCACCTAATCACAAAGCCAAAAAAGAAAAAAATCCTCTTCTAGAGAAGGGCAAAGTAAAGAGAAAGTCATGGGCTAGTTAATTTATCAGCTGCTTTGTTTGGCTGGAGCAACTAAACCTGGTATATATCTATTTCTTCCCACGTCCTTATTTTGTTAATCTGTTTTGTTTTGCATGCCAGTATCCATAAATTTGTTGGCTGATATAGTTACATTTTCCATCCTTTCACATCTCAAGCTTTATTGCACAAAACCACCAGCTTTGGATTCAAAAAGTTACCTACTCATAAGGTTGTACTCTGAAGTTTAAAGATGGAAAGAATCCTCAAAAACCAGTAGTAAATAAAGAGTTCAATAAGGTAGCATTATTTTTTAATCAGGTGGAAGATTTTTTAAAATGTGAGATTAGTGATATTTCATTCCCCTTAATAAATACTTCCAAATTCTCCTTTCCTTCTGACTCATTCTTTATTTTCCATAGCTACTTCCTCTTGCCTCATTAGCTTCTAAGTCTCCTTAGTTAAGTTGATCTAGTGCAATTATCAAACTTGAAGAGAAGCATTTGTTATTTTGATCTTATTTTTCACCATTTGGAATTTTATTATGAAAAATTACTCCTTTCAAAACCCACCTCTGGCTGCTCTTGCTGAAACTGTTAAAAATACCTTCAAAAAAACTGATAAAAACAGGTCACTTATTCCATTCTACTGAGACCAGGGAAACCTGTCCTAACACTGATCACAAATTGCAGGTCGCTTGTGGCACCAATCCTTCTGAGAACACAGCAGATGATAGCTATTTTGAAAGAAATGCCTCAGAATTCTTCAGATAAATTATGGCTTCTTTTAGTCAAGAGGAATATGATTTCGGAAAGAGTAATAGGAGAAAAAATGTGCTAATGTTAATGGGATTGTGATTATCTAAAATACATATTTAAGAGATCTTTTACATTTAAGTTAGCGTAGTTAAATTATTCCAATTGGTTTTAACAATGTGAGAATTTTGAAATTAATTCTGCTTAAAATTCCTTAAAACATTGGAACAGAAGGCCCAATACTTCATGGAACATTTCCAAAAGGGATTTTAAAAAAAATCTAGACTATGAGATTAGTTTAAATGTTTCCATTAAAATTGTTCTGTACTTCAAGCATAAATACTGGAATTTAGGGAAGAAAATGCTGAAAATGCTATTAAAATGCTATAAGTGCCACCATAATAATGACATCTTCTCATTCATCAGTTTTCTTCTTTAAAGTCATGAGAGTTAATCATGAAGAGTATTTCCCCCTCCTCCAGCACTTCAGTTAATCCAAGTCATATTAGGCTTCCCCAATATAAAATAAATCAGTTAAATTACAAGTAAATTCTCTCTCTTGGCTTCAAAGAAATACCTAAAACAAACAATTAAATTCAGCAATTCTTGGCTTCATTATGAGCCTGCAACTATACATGAGACATCACAGGCTGGTGAGTTGGAAGACTGGCGATGACGATTTAAATCTCACTAYTGCAAACTCTGGCACAAAGGTGGAGGGAAAGGTAGAGGATTACCCGTGGCTTTTTCATCATTGTCTAAAATTACTCCTGCTGGGAGGTATTAGTATTTTTTCCTGTGACTCAGCCATGACATTTAAATTGCTAGAGGATCAGAGAAAGGTTTTAATCCTGTATGTAGTCTCTGCAGCTGGGCAGCTCCTTTAACTTAAGATTACAGAGAGCTATGAAGACAAGGACAGCATTTTCTTTCCGTGCCCCAAGTTGGTCCCCACACGCAGGCAGGTGTCACTGAACCAAGTCCACTTGGTCATGAAGCTCTGCTTTACATAGCGTAAGGGGAAGAAGCATATTCAGAAATAATTTGTTTAAATAAATCTCTGTTCTGACACTAATTGACAGTAGCACCCAAGGCCCGAGGCATGAACCAGTTATTATTAGCGTTTTTTACAGCACTGAAAGACCAACATGCTTCATAAGCCCAGTAGGATTCATACGATCATATTCTGAATAGCTAAACAGCCTCCGATTTCGGGGTCTCGAATGAATAGCAGTCATCTAGGGGAAAGAGCTTATTAAGGGACCACCTCCTTTTCTTCCTAAAGATAAAGCCTTATCTCCAGCAACTGAAGAGCCTGACTGCTCTGCGGTCTATTCCAGTTCTCTCTGCTGGCTGTTCGGTGTAGGTGCCCGGCATGGTTTTGCACAGTAACAGTGTACTTCTCTCTGCTAACAAAGCTGGCTTAAGAGTTTCCTGCGCCCTCCCCCCAGCCCAGGCGCTTGTTCCCACCTCTGCGCCACTGTTTGTTGCCCCCTCAGCTGTGCTAATTCAACTCTTTGTGGGCCACATTCTAAATCAAATGGCTGAGATGATCCAACTTTAAAAAAAAAAAAAAAAAAAAACTACTCGCTCACACATACGCACCCACGCACAGAAAAACTCGGGTGTTTCACTGATCCAGTTTACAACTCAACCCACGAACAACAGCGGTCGCACAACCACGGCAAGCCCCGATAAGGGAGCAAGAACAAGARGGCAGATCAGGCAGGAAACTGCCCGACTTAAACTGGCTTTCCCTTTGGAAAAAACCCGGCTGTGTGAGTCGGGCCGGAGAGCCGGACGCGAGCTGCTCGGAGCAGAGCGGAGCGCAGCAGGAATTGTCTCACAGCTGGCAGAGCGCTCGGCCGCTCGCACCGGAAGAGAAGGCTCTCCGCCGGAGCGGCGAGGCTGCGGCAGCCTGCTCTGAGCTGCTCTGCTCCATCCCCATAGGCGAGTGGCAGGGCTGCTGCCTTTTGAAGGGATTATTTTCTGGAGTCAAATCGTTTTGCAGATGCAGTTTAGCGTTTAGCCACGCGAACAGGAGAATGGAGTGGAGACCGAGAGAAGGTGACATCCAGTGTGGCAAGAAGGGGGACAGGACCACTTTACAACCCTGCCTGCTGTAAGATTTGTAAGGAATATGCCATTTGTGTAGATCAGCTGTTACCTTAGCCCAGACATAAGTCAAAGTAATGAGAAAGAAATGTGGGAATGGAAAAGAGAAGCAAAAGCAGCAGAGCTAAAAACAGAAAGCTATTGCAGTCCTTCAGACATGAAAGAATATTATTTAGGAAATAGCACATTTGTGCCTGGTCTGGCCAGTCGTCTCTTTTGGCTACATTACTTTTTTTTTTTTTTCCTTCATGTTACATCATTAGTGCCAAAACCCAATCGTGTCTGCTGAGCATGCCATACCTTTGATGTTGTTTTCCAAACTCAGAAACTACTTGAAGCCATATTACCATCATACAAGATATGGTAATATACWCAGTGTGGATGATAGGAGAAGAGAGATCATCTTCAGAGTATCAGCCATATCCTAATAGTATAAAGCCAATATATGAAAGCCCTGATCATTATAAATGGYCTTTTTCCAGCATAAATGTATAATGTTTTGCTGCATGACATGACCATAATCTTTCATTAAATTGTAATATATATTTTTATGAAGAAGAATATCAACAYAGGGAAGCACTCTCTTAAGGAGAAGTTTCAGAGGCACAATAGTTAAAAGACAAAGCAAAATCAGTGATTAGAAGGCTAATGCTATCTTTTAAAGCAATGTATTCTGGATATCTTTCAAAAGGATCTGTGTCTAAAATTGCAAGAATGATCTGGTAATATACTCAGATATGGAGATGCTCAGCCTAT